TATCCTTGTAAACTAGATTAAGGGTTCCAATGAGGCTCTCGACACTGGGCCCATATGTAAGTGATTACGAAAAATGTGAAATTTGTACTTAAAATGTGTCTAGGTGTTCGAGGTTTAATTTTTTGTGAGTAGACTGTATTTTCAAAGATACTCTGGGGTGACTGGCTGGAAGTTGGTGCTTTTGTTGCGTTTTAGCGACCCTATTCTCTCAAATAAAATTAGGTCTGTTCCATTCCATGCTTTTTTATTGAGATCACGTTGAATTTGTAGACTATTGGTAGAGTTTTCGGGGACCCAAAAACTTTTGGTTGAGAGCACGCAAAGACGAAAGCGTGGTTGCGCAACTAGTATTTGCTAATGATTAGTAATAGGAAATCCATACTCATTGTGAAGCAAACAAAAAAATCAAATTGACAACAACGGCAAATAAATAAAATAAACAACAAACAACAAAAGGACTAAACTCTAAAAAAGGCGGGAAAGACGTGCCTGAAAGAAGTGGTCGTCGGGATTGGTTGCACACCACATATTTCGTTGTTCTCATTATTTATAATCACGAAGCTACGGCCCCAACCCCGACTATTCCCGTACGGGTAAATAGCCCTTTAGCACTTTCTTGGCAAATGGGTTCGCGTGACGACCGTGCACTCTCGAGTACGAGACATATGGGAGCTGCCGAAATACTTCATCATGGTGTTCCTTATCGATTCTTTTCTTTTGAATCGTGATCGATTCCCGATCGATGAACTGTTTTTCGAGGATAAGCATAAACTTCAGGGTTAAAATTCAACATAGATGATGCTAGAGGCTTTCTTCAAATACAAAAAAACTTTTTTATCCTTTCTGAAAGCCCTAAGAAGTTGCTATTGCCTTAATGGCACTTAAAATTATGCACTATGCGCTGGCGAAATAGTTTTCCATTGGTTAATCGTCGAAAAAACCATATGGTGTAATCAGAAGGAGGCATATTATTACCAGCACGCCATGTACTGTTTAGTAAGCACCTAAAAAAGCTCGCAGAACTCAGGAAGTGGGATTTTCTAACGCTTTTTTTTGGTGGCTTCAAACGGCATTCTGACTTGGCATTTTTTAGAACTACAAATGCATCCGCACACTTGGCAGAATCATAGAGAGACAGCAAGTCTATATTTGCTGATTTTGTTTGTTTTTGTAATAGTTTCGAAATTGAAGCTGAATAATTTTAAAAATTGATTTGCTTACGTCTTTCCCCGGCCTCCAATTTTTTACCGATATGGAGGATTTTCGCTCTATCTTGTTTCCGAAAAGCATCAACGAGTTGTTGGCTCGTTTCTGGATCGTTACAGTCATCCATGCCGCCACACCAACACCGTATGTTCCCTGACGGTTTTCGAACGCATCCTGAAATGAAATTGCTTCAAATTTCTTACTCATTATATCGTGGAGCATGAAATTCGCATGTGGGTAACATATTTACTTGAGGATTTAACAAAAAATGAATTATTAGATCGAAATCGCGAGAGTTGGACTTTTATGATTGGGATGGGAAAGGGATCACTATGACACACTTATGTAACTACATTTATTTGCTTCAGAGTTTGTTCTCTAATATTTGTGCCGATTCTCACAGCAGAACAATAAAGAGGCAAGGATGGTCGAACAGTGTAAGGCGCAGGCTCGTGTTGGCACTCTGAAAGGTCCCAAATCCCTTCCTTGCCGCTCTCAAAAACAGAGAAATTCCAGAGTCAATAAGATTGGTTCCTCCTCTGTTCCACCGTTCCGCATTCAGTCACCATCTCACCCTTTCGTGTCTTGCACCCTTCCTTAGGTTGAAACCGAGTAACCTAAAAATGGGTACCAGTGAGCGCCGCAAAGCTGCGGTCTTATCCGTCTAGGCTCTAGCAACTAGCTTTAGATGCACAGAGCAGAGGAGTACCCTCTCAACCTACATTTTTACCGTTCAAATATGTACGGGAGACGGGCGTTAGGAACGATTTTGGGTAATCGATTTGCCGCACGCGGCTGTCGCGGGCCACTCGTTCGCCGTTATTACAGCTCTAGCGTTCTTCATACAGCTCAATCGATATGCGATCATTATTTTATGCAGAATTCTACTACTAGTACTTTTGTTCTTGTATTTCTTACCTACTGCTGCATCCTGTTACATTCCTTCGCGCGCGACGCCCCTCTCACCGCAACGCGACCATTTCGTTCCTAACGTACCACACCCAATATGTACCTTTCAAAGTGCCAAGAAATTTCGGAAGGACGTACATACATATGTTGTTCCCTATTTAGACCGATGACTAACAGTCTCGCGAAATTTCTGACTGCTTCATTGTTTTAATAAGGTATATGTTTAGTCACGACCACGTCGCAGACATAGGAAAAATGTTTCCTATGTCTGCGACGTGGTCGTGATTTCCTGCGAAAGACAAACATTCGACCGAAAACAAAGCCGACGAAAGGAAAAATGTGTCTTCATTAGATTCTACATATTAGGAATGAACGACTACTATAAAGGAAACAGAATCCAATGAATACCATGTGAGGTAATGAGGATATGGGTGATGCTGTACTCCGTGGGAGTCGAAACAACCGGAACCTAGCCTTCCCATCGCTTCTTCCGAGATAACTTGGGTTCCGTGTAAGCATAGCAAGCTAGTTGTGAAAGACCAGACCTTTAATCGTGCATATTGTCCTATTGTCCTAAATAAACCCAGCCAAGAATTCGTTGGTGGAAGCTGAACTAGGAGGAGAAAGAGAATCGCAAGTGGAAAACCTTCGAAGCTTGTTTGCCTATCTACATGGAACAGTCCAGAAAACCCGTGGCAGTCCGGAGACAGTCTGAGTGAAGCACGAGGGGATCAAAAGAGAAAAAGCAAAGTGGGTATGCCCATCTCTGTAGACTTGGCGACATCGCTTTAGTAGCAGATGGCACAGAACAACTTCAGGTTCAAGTGTGTAAGGGCGAGCAAGTGCTGCTAGAAGGTTGAGCTCTAATGAACGTGAGTGAGGCCACGTTTCTGGAATTTGACAAATATATAAGTCTAGTCGTAGTCAGCCATGGGAAAGAGATCCGGTAGGTTGAAGATTTTTGAAGATTGGGAATCGATTAGGCCCATTTGGCAGTATGGAGCAGGCAGTCATGGATGAAATGAATGAAGAGGGGTGATTGATGGTACCCAAACCTTTAAAGTGCATGGTAGAGCCTGCGGACATCAGAACCCCACTGTGTTCTGCAGTTATACGTTCTAACATAGACAAGAATCATGAAAGCAGCTTTAGAGGATGCCAGGATTGTCTGCGAATAGGTTCAGCTGGATCGGATAAGAAAAAAAGCTCAGGATGACCATAAACACAGCCTTCATCTAGCCAGAGGTACGGAGGAGCTCTGTGATGGTTAGGAGAGGAAGTTCTCAGAAGACCATAGTGTCAACGGATAGCATGGACGTTAGACCTCTGAGCTCACGAAGTTGGTCACACGACAACGAGAAGCTGAGGGTCATCATGAACAAAGGCCTCAGTGAACTGAAGGCCACACCCTAGAATACTCAATTAAAAAAAAGCATGTGACGTCGTTTAGCAGCCTGCGCAATGGGGCGAGATCACAGTTTGGTGGTAACAGACGGGTTCTTTGGTACTGGTCAAAGTCAATCATTATGAACAGGTTAAAGTACCCTACATAAACTGATAGTCCACTTGCCTGCTGTTCCTTCGTACTCTCCTGGATAGATACAGACGAGCTGATTTCGGTCGTATAGTTTTGACCATTCATACCATTCAACTTTATCCGATCGAGCTTTTATACGACACCCGACGGTGGACGAGGGACAGTTTTCCGTGATGAGGCCATAACCTGAAAGGATTATTCCAGTAGATAGGAAGTATTAAACGAAAATAGATACGAAGTTGAGACGAAGTTCTAGGTTCTGAGGTCATCCCATGTAGGTCGATGTCGACTGGACTCCTGGTGCCATTGCATTGATTGTTGGGCGAATATACCAGACGCTACCGTGGTGCCTTTACTCTGCTTCGAATATTCAATGGTTGCTTTCTTGACATTCTATTTCTTACATTAGTGCCATTTATTGTCTCGTCCCTAATTGCTCCCTCGTCATTTTGTGATATTTATTCATTTGTCTCCTATTTACCATATTATCATATTTACCATATTGTTTATTTACCATATTTATGTATTATAGTTGCTGCTAACTGGTAACTCCATGGATTTTGGAGGGAATGATAGTTTACTGTCTTCTACTTACACATACAAAGAATTCTAGAGCTACGAAAAATTCTCAAATCCAACTTAGTTTCTCATAATACAGCCTATGAGTCTACAAACCTGCAAAAATACCGAAACGCTGAGCAGAACATTTTTTAAGTGTCAGAGTTAATTGAATGGACATGATTCCATCTAATTTCGTCCACGATTCTATAAGATGATTGGAGGGTGTGGCGAGGAGAGACTGATACCGGTTAATTTCACTTTCCAGTAGCTTTCATTGCCATACTGTACAGAATTTTCGTCGGAATTTTAATTTGCTACTTACTAACACACGACGGAATCTTCCCCAAAAAAACCTCGAGTCAAGTGACCACTACGCGGAGTTCATTGAATCACGGTCCATCCTGTTCGGTGATAGTAGACTCACGAACTAGCGCCTCTAATCATTGCGTCATGCCTTACGTTACTTAAATAATAGCTTCACATTAGGTTTGGTGTGTGAACACCCTAGATGTAGGTAGATCCATGTTGCTACTTCCTTCGGGGTTCCAGCGCCTGTCTCCCTTGCTAGTGGGGCTCATGCACCAGCTGTCGCGTGCAGCATAGCAGTTTTATGCGTGCGGTATTGCTAAGGCCTTATTATAGTGGACCCTCAAATATTTGCCGGCCGAAACAATAAAAATCGACGATTTACGGCTGCTAATTCATTTGAAATGCACGGCGCAACACACACGCACAATTGCACAGCAACCATGCAAGCTGTAGGCACAATGTCCGACTGAGAGGGCATCCAAGTCGGTCAGACTCAGGACCATTCTGATCGTTTCCAAGGGAACGTTATCGATCGCTGAATATTTAGCACAATGAAGTAATGTTAGGGTTGCTCCTAGTTGGGTAGGGCGATTGTTTTGGTTCGTTATCTTCATTCATCTTCAATGTGACACCTTCAGATCGTCGTCGAGACCCTCTAGGGATTTTGTGCAAAGGCCTTCACGAAATCACGCTTCCGACTGACTGGAAAATAAGGATATTACTAATGGCGTGAAGCGAGCCAGCGGACGGGTAAATTTGAGCCGAACTTGGTCCGATTCCGTTGAGACGCATGCCAATCAGATATAGCGACCCCCACTAATGACACCGTCGTGAAAGTGAAGACCTCAAATTTGACGACATTCCGCTATCTCAAATAATTGGGCAGAATATGTTATTGGGATCTGATCGCTTTTTCAAAAAATATTCCGATCAAATCCTTTTAGAGCCGTGAAGGACAGACGAAGGCTCGGCGGGAGGCTTTCACTTCCTGTCGAGCAAAATATCATGCAAATTTTTCATCTTAAAATATTAATTTTTGAAGCTATCGACTTTTTTTTTTGCTTTGAGCCCTTTTGATATATGGAGTTCATCGTGGGAGTCCGGAAGTTCAAAACGACTTCATTGTGATAGCATATTCCGAGCTTAGACGTTTCCGCATTTGTTCACCCCAAAATCATGCTCAACTAGGAGAGTCAGTTTCCACGGAAATATTCGTGCCATAGCTGGGCTCGTATGTTCGTCTTAGGCATATTGTCACTTACTAACATGCACTGGATTTCTTTCATGAAAGAGAAATGAAAGGAAGTCTCCTAGAGGCAAAATTTCAGCCGCACATTGTAGCACTGGGCCTCTAGAATCACGCATGGACTTATATGGTGGCTTTACTTATTAGGTGCCCTCTGAGCCATCCAATCATTTCGAGTTTTTCCTAGAAACAGTTGTTTACAGGAGAAATCTCAAAGAAGCCCTAATGCTTCACTCAGAGGTTTCACGAATTGGTAGGGTGTTTGTTAACATAATCCCCATATGGATTCTTTGTTTGAAACTCGTAATGAGATGAAATAAAGAATTCATTCTCACTCAAGTAAACTTATAGTTTGTCAAAAGTAGCTATGATGCACGTAGTGATGGGAAATTTCGATCTTGGATTTAATAATTTAACGTGACTGTTTTCAGATCTTTTGAGGAGTATTTCTTCGACTGGAATATTTTAACAAAAAAATGTATAGCTAATAAAAATATAGATGGCTGTTTGCATGTTAAGAAGTTTTTCTGAGATATTCCCATTCGATAGCTGTTCCTCTGTTAGGCTCAAAAAAGGGCCCTTACCGTTCTTGGTAACTCTATCGTCGGTCTGATGTCAGTCGAGTGTTGAGCTCCCGACCGCTCATAAAACCAGCCAGTGGCTAAGGTGGTGTCGCTAGAGCTTCTCATATTTCAACGTCATTATGAGTTTTGCGCTCAACGGCAGCAAACACCTTTCCGGAAATGTCTCCAAAAATATCGATGACGAATGGAGGCAACCAGAGGGAGTGGTTTCAGTTCGGTGAAGAAAAGTACTGCTTCTTGGGTCGGGACGCAAGGATTTTTGAGAGGCTGCTAGCCATAAAAACATGGGAAATATTGTTATTCACAAAATCGTCGTCATCCGCATTAAAAAAGTTTATGCACCATGATCCTTGAGGTCGGCCTCGGTTATGCTCATTTGTTTACAGTCTCTCTAATGCCTTGTTGTTTTTCTACGATATTACATGTGATAAACAACAAATCTATTTTTTTTGAAGTTAGTGCATTGTAAAATGAAAAATCAAGGGCATGTCCCAAAATATAACCGTATTTGCCATTATTCAGTTTTTACTATAGAGCTTATTGATAGAAAAGTGGGAAAAATGAAATAATAGGGCCACCCGGAGGTCAACTCATCTTGTCAACCATTATATAAAAGCTGAACTCAAATATCAATCCAATCAATTACGATCCTCTCCACTTACAACCAGATCAATCAGTAGTATTGCATATATTTTTGATACAATGAAAGAAAATGGACGGCTACTGTTCAGCACCTTTGATGAGATTAAATTAATACATCATCACTCCAAATTGTCAGTAAACCTTTACTGATGAGTGCGATTTCCAATTTTCAATTGATTTCTTTGAAATTCCGATGAAGAAGTGAGACTTTCGCCTTAAAATTGAAATTCCGATTTCATTATTTTTGGAAATTTTTACAAGGAATATGACATATAAGTAAAAAATTCATTTGTAATAAAGAATCGTAAAAAGGAGTTGGTTGATTGAAGCACATGTAAAGAGGAGGGGAATCTTGTTTGTCATGGTCACCACTATACAGCCCCCTTCAAACCCGTCCGCCTCAGAAGAGGCAATTTTCGACGATCAAGGGCAATTTTTTCATTCATTTGGCCAGCCATCCAGACAGCAAAGCCCCTTATGGCAGATCTCATGACAAACAGAGAGAGAACCTCGTTGATGCATATTTATAGCGAATACCCACCTCCCCATCATCGCTGTCGAGATTCAGCGCTGATAATAACGGGAAGAACGAAAGCAGCAGTGCTGGTGCAGGTTGCTCATGACTTCAAAGGAACTTCGCCATGTAGTTGTTATGTGTTGAGCTTCCTCGCATAGAGAATGACCCATAATATAATCTGGCTAATTCCTATTTACAGTATAATTAACTCATTTGAAAGGGAAAGATCTGTAAGAATTCAGGCTAAAGTTGAAGCTAGTTTTTAAGCTGTAGAACCGAGATATTAACAAGCTTTATTAGGCTGACGTTTCGGTGCCTTCACCTTCCTCGGAGCCTGGAAAGACAAAAGGCATTTGAGAAACCATCCGATCAAGCACTATTTCAATCTGTAAAGAAAGTTCAGAGGGCGTGGGCTACTAGGAAGTCGAAAGTTGATAACTAACCTTTTAACTCCTAACTCCC